ATATTACATATAATGAAAAATTTAGTTTGAATTAATTTCTTAAAAACTCTGCATTCATGTTTAATAAAATAATCGGATTCAAGAAAATTATGCTGTAATTTAAATTTTTTTATTAAATTTAATACACCATTAAAAATTCTGCATAATAAATAAAAATTGTAGGATGCAGCACGTTCTTATTATTCTATCTTAAATTTTTAATTTTTTTTTACATTACTATTTCAAATTATTGTCTGTTACTATTTCAAGTTACTTTTTTCTTTGCAAATTATAAATTTGCTTTATTTTAAATTAAGATAAAAACTTTTTGCTTTTAAGTTGTATCAAAGATTTATTAATTCGTAAATGAAAATATGTTACATCACTTGCATTATCCATGATATTTTTGCAATTCATACAGCAACATCACTTATAATCTGTTTTATAATGGATGTAATATGCGCTTATGCAATCAATTTTTCATAATTGCTTTTTGCACCACAATATTGAAAAAATTATTGTTGCAATGTTGTCTAAGTGGTAGCTACACTATATATGATATGATGCGCTAATGTTATTTTTAGCTGGTTCTTGTTTTATGTAGCAAATATGCGCTTAGAAAATGTTATATGACGTTATATGTCATAAAACGCATGAAGCAATATATGGCAATACACACACAATAATTCTGATATCTTATATTCATTCTAAGGTAAAGATTTTCTCAGTGGGTTTTTTCTCCAAATAAATGTATAAATTGATTATTAGATAAAAGCACAAAGTACTGTTCATCTTTATTCTGTATATATTATCTATATTTCTCTTTATAAAATAAAAATATTAACTCTATAATAGCATATATATTATCGAAAATTTGTAACGTAAGCTATTTTATAATAAGCAAATTTAGTTTCTTTCTACGATACATTTGTTTAAAACATGGATGCTAGGATCTTGCTGTTTTCTTTTAGTTATAACTAATTAATGTAAGATTTGATGGCAACAATTTTTACAATTAGGTAAATAAGTCTTTTATTTGATGTTTTATTATATATTATCGTTTATGTTACAGTGCCCAGCAATCCTCGGAGAACGCCGTTAAATCTGGACGACATACATTAGGCAACCAAGTAATTCGTAAAGGCTATATGTGCATACATAATCTCGGTATTATGAAGGGTGGCTCGAGAGATTATTGGTTTGTTTTAACATCAGAGAGTATCTCCTGGTTCAAGGATGAAGAAGTAAATATTATTTATAGTTTATTCAACTATTTAAATTGGATAAAAATTATTGAATTAAAAATTGTAATATCTTGTACTAAAGCAGAATTATTAATATCTAAGAACAATGCTTAATCTGCTATATTTTTATGTATGAAGGAACGTGAGAAGAAGTACATGTTGCCTCTGGATGGACTGAAATTGCGTGATTTAGAACAAGGTTTCATGTCGCGACGTCATTTATTTGCGTTATTCAATCCAGAAGGAAGAAATGTTTATAAAGATTACAAGCAACTGGAGTTGAGTTGTGAAACTCAAGATGATGTTGACTCCTGGAAGGCGTCATTCCTAAGGGCTGGTGTATATCCTGAAAAATCAACAGAACAAGCAAATGGCGAAGGAGAGGTGAGTTCATTGTTGATTGAAACACGATTAAACAATGATATGTATGTATCGTCATGATAAAAATATTTGTTATGTCTTATCAGTTTATTTAGTAACCGTTTACTTAAAAAAATTGATTTATAATAATTTTATCTATATCTAATATGAAGAAAACGATATTATCTTTAATTTGTATTACAACAAGATTAATTTATTATATTTATTAGAATTCATTTTAATTTATTTTAGGATAAGCAGAGGGTGAGTTAGTAAAAAATAAAATGAGAGTTTGTTTTTAATTTTTTAATTGTGTGATAATCTGAGTTGTTAAGAGCAACTAACAAAATGAAATTAAAAAAAATAGATTTGGCTTTATTTTTATGAATATAATTAAGATAGAATTAGAATATACATGCAAAATTAGTATTAAATTTTGCATAATTTTAAGTCCAATTATGTATATGTCTAATTGGACTATGACAATTTATTTATGACATTATTTTATATGAAAATTATTTTATACAAATACAATTTTCATTGCAATTTGCGTTCTAATTATTGTTAATTATACTTAAATATCTGTGCAGAATGCATGGGATCTTTGTAACCTTTTCTAAAATTAATAACATTTTGCATTGAATGCATAATAGTAATCGTTTATCTTTTGTCTTATATTTGAATCGACTAAAAGGAAGGATATGAGGTTGGTACAATCGTGTTTTCAATTATAAAGCGCACGACACTTACATGAACACCGGACACCTCCTCAATCAAGCACACTGCAGAAAATTCTAACACTACAGAATATGTTATTTAATATTTTATATTCCATAGATCGATATTCGTCACATTAGTTTATTATGCTTATAATATTGTGAATGTTATTTAATAACTTTTTTTTTAATTATTAAATTGTTTGAAAATGATTTTCGAAAATATATATTATATAGAATTTAAATGATATCATTTTTATTTTTGCAGGGTGGAACAGAAGGTCAATCATCGATGGATCCTCAATTAGAGCGTCAGGTGGAAACTATCAGGAATTTAGTTGATTCTTACATGAAGATTGTCACAAAAACTACACGTGATTTAGTTCCAAAGACGATTATGCATCTTATTATTAACAACGCTAAAGACTTCATTAATGGAGAATTATTGGCACATCTATATGCAAGTGGCGATCAGGTAAAACATTAAGTTAAAACAATATGTATTATACTTACATGACAATTTATTACAAAACCGGTTTTTATTTTTAAAATTTATAGATTAATTTTTTGCATTATTTCCTAGTCAACCAAAGATGAAATAAATACTCTGACGATATTCAATAATCCTGTAATCGTAAGTGTCCTTGTCCTGCTCCTTTCCTTTCATCCTTTTTCCTTTATTTGAGTTGGTTTAGAAGAAATGTATTTACAATTCTTTAATGAACTCAAGTTTTGAATATATAATGCATTATCTTGTTGGACTTTTCTGTTTATATTTTCGTATATCGTTATTTACAAAATTTTTATACGGCTTATATGTGTATAATATATAATATATATATATGTATATATAATTACAGGCTTCAATGATGGAAGAATCTCCTGAAGAGGCGCAGAAACGAGAAGAGATGTTACGCATGTATCACGCTTGTAAAGAAGCCCTTCGTATCATCGGAGATGTTTCCATGGCTACAGTTTCAACTCCAGTACCACCACCAGTGAAGAACGATTGGCTAGTATCCGGCGACAATCCAAGGTAACCTTTATGTTATTCCTAAAACGGTCTATCGCGCATTTTACTAATTTATCATCCTTATATTTTGTACCGTCTGCTTTGCCATACATTTGAACACCGTTGACACAGTCTTGGGTAAGATTTTTTACATATAACATATTTATCTTTAATTTTTTTTAACGAATAACATTATCAAGAAAAAAATCCAAATGTTTTAATATACAATACATCATGTTCATATTATGCATGCTTTTGTCATGAGTAGATTTTCCCTTGAACCTACAATATTAAGCTACATTAAAATATTGTTAAAATTTAATTATTAATATTCCGATATTTATTAATATTTCGATTTAATCAATATTTCATATATTCAATGTCATATTGTTTTATCTTCAAGTATTAATATTAAAAATTTATATGGACTGTGCCATACCCTAAAACAGAGATTTTGTACGATAATCTTTAATGTATATTACTCGTAACTTTTCTTTTGTTTAATCGTTTGGAAGAAATTATTTGACGCGCCCAAACGATGTAAAAGCCGATTATAAACCGTTTATAAACGTACTATACGTTCTAGATTATCGCCACCATCTCCTGGTGGTCCAAGACGCGGAGTGACACAGCCACCACCTATTTCTAGCTCACGAGCCCCACCACCGGTACCTGGAAGCGGTCGGCCGGCGCCAGCCATTCCTAATAGACCTGGTCCGGGTGGACCACCACCAACTCGAGCAAACCCTGGCCTACCTCCACCTATGATACCCTCGTGAGTATAAAATTTATGTAAAAATTAAAACTACTTGAAGTTCCATTTATTATCACAAAAAAATCTTAGATCTTAAATATATCGCAATTTTATCATATCATCGATCGCAATTATTTACGCCCATGCTATGCGCACATCGAATTTCAAGTCGCACAATAACGTTCCTTGTTGATTGTGTGTTCGAAGTATAATGATGCAATAACGACGTGAAAGCGGTATACAGACGTGAACGTAAAGTTCGCAGCTTTCCTCGAGAATCTTGCCCAACTATATTAAGCATTAGCTTTTGTGATTGGGGCTTTGGGTGCTAACTTCACTTTCTATTGCAGGCGCCGACAATAAGTCTTCGCACTAACTCGCCTATTCGCTACTAATCAATATCGTATCCGTTGCATTATAGACAGTGTATATTTTACACAAAAACACTGTTTTTTTTCTCTCCTATAATGTTGCTGTTACTACGTATACTATCAGAGATTATAAGATCGATGTTAATTAAGTAGGAGTGTAAAAATAACATGAGAATTCTAATTGTATAAGTCCTGCACTTTTTTGTGTTTCTGGAATTTAATTGAGCTTCCAAATGTCGAGCAATTCCTCTAGTGCATTTCATCAGCGTAACACACAACAACGACATATTTTTTAAGTGATTGATTAAGATTTGAGAAAGGATAAGAATAACTATCTTATTCTCCTCTACGATATTATTTCTATTATTCAATATTTATATTGCTTGAACACAGTGTAACAATTTTTTAGCCTAATTCATATATAGATATACATAATTATACATAGAATATAAATATTTTATGTATAATATTACTTGTGACACGAGAAGATTAACACCTCTAATTGTAGTTATACCTTAACGCCACTAGCACGTGAAATCCGTGCAATACTAAATATTTCCGAAGATACAATATCTGCTTGTTCTTAGAAAATGGAGATATATATATAATATACATAGTCAAATCACACATGTTTGATTGTAAATTACCTTGATGAAACTGTATATCATATATGTATATATCGTTGAAAATATTGTCAAATAAAGGACTTTGCGTTCTTATAGTAGATAGATAATCATTTATTTACTTACTAACAGCATGACATTTTGACAAAATGTGACCAGATATGAGAAATGACGATCTTCGGAATTTGTTATCTATCAATTTCTCTATCAGTCGTATTTATTATTCGTACATATTTCATGTATAAACATTACAGCATTAAACCGTATTTAATGCTATTTCAAAGCTTTTTAATCGCATAGCACTTCTACTTTATACGTCTCTTATTATCCAAATATTTTATATAAAATCTAATAATCCGAAACTTGTCAATTACTATTTATGGACAAATATGTCGGTGCCTGCATTACAATTTATCAAAAGCAAGAAAAATAATGCAAATATAATTGTTACATATTTATAAACGGGAGCTAAGACAAATTTAGTCTAACAGTAAAAGCTGCCTTTTAATATCGAACAAATATCGTTACAAAATATGTTTTTATAACTATTATTACAAAGTTACGTATTACATCGTTAATGTTACTTTATCTCAAATACGCATTTGAAAAGGCATTATGCACGCTTTCGTACACGAGACATGCATCATAAGTTAATATTTATCAACAAAATAAAAAACATATGATATATGTCCTCGAAACAAATTGCAAGAGTGAGATTAGTAGTCAAAGCTGGGTGTCCGTGATGTGTTTAGTCGAGGGGGTGGTCTACAACAGAGGGTGACACAAGCTGCGACACAGGCTGCAGCGCAGGCCGCCGTGAACGAGCTGATGGATGCGTTCAAGATCAAGTAAATAAATATCTCCAGTTTTCCGAGTTGTACCCTAATGATATATTGTACATGGATATTCATTTAAGTTGCGGCAGAAAGTAGATGGTAGACTGTTCAGGGTTGAGAATGAACTAATTTGTATTTTCTTTATTTTTAATAGATCTTTATAACAAAATCCGCAGAATAATCACTAATTTGATCCTGTTACATCTCTTTTTTATCTTTCTTTTTCTCGTGCATGGTGTTCCATGAATTTGACTAACGATTATGCCTTTGGAGGTAAATTCGTACACCAT